AGGCTAATCGCAGGGCCTAATTCTCATGGTCTGTCACCTCACTCTCCACACACACAGTTACCAGGGGACTTCCAGAAAGACACTACGAGAAGAGAGATGAAGTTTCCATAGGAGGACAAGGAAGACAAATAAATCACCATATCTTGATTTTTCCCTCTCACATATCGACAAAAGGCTAAGCATCTAAGTAGATTGGTGAAGGAGAGAATAGACGAGGGCAGAGAGAAGGCAAGCACTAGGTATTGTGAGATAGCATTGATGCCCAACTGGATTTATTTATATTTTTAAGAGTCTAGACAGGGAAAAAAAAAAAAAGAAAGGAAGACATGAGATGGGAAAGCAGCATAGCTGTGAATGTTTAAACTTATAGTGAGCTTGGGGAAATACCATTTTTTTTTTTGAGCTGAGCCATTCTGCCACCTGATGGCAGCTCAGCAGCAGCTCAGCTCGGGCCGGGAATGGAACCAGCAACCCTGTTGCTCAGAGCTCACACGCTTGAGCAAGCTTTTAACCAACTGAACCACTTGGCCAGCCCTGGGAAAAGACCATGTTTGACACATTTTCATTCCACACAGGGTTACAATATTAATTGGCTTAGCAGACTTACAATCAGCAATTTCTTGTGTGGTGCACAGGTTAATGGAGTTGCCAGAGTATCTCAGATATGAAATTGTTGCCTCATAATTATGTGGTTCTTCCAATTCAGCACTGAGAAACATGGAGAAAAAAAGGTTACTTAAACTGTTTCTTTAAACATTTTAAAACTTTTTATATATTTTTGTTTTCCGTTTTAGAGAGGTAATATAAGTATGCCTGGCCAATACGGTAACCTCAGCAGATATGAAAGGCACATCACCCCTACTCTAACTACATAGCAGTTCTGGATGAAATATAACAGTGCAAAGAATTATACAAAGAACATGTAACTCGCCTAAGAATCAATAAGGTAAAACTCCCCAGATGCCAGACACAGAGAGGAAACTCACAGTTAAAGATGTAAGTGAGAATTTCATCTAAGGGACTCAAAGGGACATTGGGACCAGATAAAGAAAGATCTTAGTGACTGGATGGCTAGGGATTTATAATGTCTGAGTCAGAAGTTAAGTCTGAGCCACAGGCCTTCTTATCTGAATGGGAAGCTGGAAATGAGGTATCAGGATAAAGTCCAGTCACAAAATGCCATCCCATCCATAAAACAAATTCTAAAAAAATTTCTGTGCACTCTCCCAGGGATTGACAGGGAAGGCTGCTATCGGACTATAGCCATTGGAGCTAAAAAGGGTTGCCCATGAAAAAAGAAACTTGAAAACACACACACACAACGCCAAGTAAAGGTATGGGTTCTATCTATGTATTTCAGAGACACAAAGCCGAAAGGGTACTTGAAATCCAAGCCCCCTTGTAAAGCTAATCTGAACTCATTCAATGAACAGGCTTCCATGACCCCTGGCATCTGTGGTTTCTAAAGGAAACAATTCCCACTCAAAAGAAGCTTTTAGTAAAAAAACTGCACTCCCCCCTATGATGAGCCAGCATAGGTAGTCAGAAGATACAACTCTTGGGAGAATTAATCATAGAATGACATGAAAGCGCCTTTAAAGTAAGTAAGTTTTAAGTGTTCAAAGAAATAAAGTGAGGGATAAAAGCCATTAGAGAGAGTGAAAAAAGAACATGTAGATTTGGAGACTGGAGAAAGCAGTTCTAGAAATCATCAACATAGTTCTTGAAATAAAAAATTTAATGTAGAGGTTACAAGCAGACTAGACGTGGCAGAGGAGGCACTTGGTGAATTAGTTAGGCCTGAGGAAGTCACGGATGGGAAATACAATAGCAAAGCTTAACAGTAGTGGGACTAGAATGAGGAGGTCCAACATACATACTAGGGACTCTAAAAGGAAAAAAAGAAATAAGATGATGAAAAGAAGTCAATATTGACATGATAATAGCTAAGAGTTTTCTAAAATTGAAAAGGGATATAAAGCAATTACTGAAGCAAATTTAACAGTAAGAAATGATGATAAACTCATGCTTACACAGTTTGTAATAAATTAGCATAAGACTGAAAAAAAAATGTAAAAGCTGTATGAGAGAAAAGACAGGGGCAGCACATTGGCAATGGACTTCTCATTATCAAAAATAGATGGTGGGGATTGTAGATAGTAGCTTAAAGCACTGAGTAAAGATATCTGCCAATATAAAATTCTCTTCCAGCTGAATTATCATTCAAGGGCGAGGGAGAAACAAAGATGTTTTCAGAATACAAATAACTGTCCACTCATTTACTGCTCACAGATCCCTGAAATTGCACTAGTAATGAAGTAGGATATAAAAAAAACCTGACAACTGGATTTAGAAACTGTGG